AAGCTTTCAACAAAAACAGCTTCCTGGCAAATCTCTTTGGACTTTGAGTTACTGCGACTCGCACTTTTTCTACATTTTGCTGGTGTACAAAGAGTTTTGCGGCACCTATCGATTATTTTAAAGATTTAAGCGTTTATCCTAAATAATTTTACCCAGTTCACCATTGTTTTCCAATCTGGAATAGTGCCATGTTGACCAAGGATGGAATGTGGTCCAAACAATCTCTGGGTTTTTGCACAATAACCACTATTTTAAAAATAGGTTTCCACATGAAAATCTCAGTGTTAATAGCTTCGGTCATAATATTTACTAAAATGGCAAAGTTTAATTGATGTTTTAAGCACAGCTGATCATTCGTTGTTGCAACAATTATATAGTGACAGCTAAAACAAATTGTGGCGTTCTCATTGCCTCACCCTGTATATATATATGTGTGTCAGCAAAACCTCATTTTCGGCCCTAGGTACAAAATATACTATTATGCAAGTATAGGCTAATATAAACGAGTGCTATTTCATCGATTGTAAATTAATGTATAGTGTTGTGGATTGCCAGGTTAAAATTTCCGTCATAATAAATTGAAATTCAACTAAAACTTAAATAGAAAAAGCCAAAATAATTTATAAATGAAACGTGAGTTTATTGCTTTTACAATCGTATATACCGAGCCATGGCTCGGTCCCCTGGTATTTAGTATTTAAATTAGTTGCATACGTTTTAATGACTTTTTCGTCATACTGCAGAGAAAACAGCTATTTTAGCACATGCGTTGCATGTCTAAAGTAGCATTATTACTCTCTAGGGAGGAAAAGCGTTTTTAGCCCTTAAGGAATAAACATCAGCTGTTGACTGTGAGTCGGTGGCTCAGTTGGCAGCTATGTCGTGGGTTCGGATCCTGGTCACTGCCACTAAAATGTATCAGTACAGTTCACCTTCGTACTGTACCGGCTCTCCCCTTGCTTTGCTGGATACGTTCCACGCACAGATCTGTAATCTATGTCAACGGGCAAATGCAAGGTTAAAAGAGGTTGCCAATCTCTTAAAAAAAGTTATAAATTTCAATCGTAGGCAAGCGTTTGAATCGAAAGTATGTATTGATTGTTTAATCGCTTTTTATTGTAAATAGTTTGACATATCGACAGTACACTAACACTAACACTCGTAGTCGTAATAGACGAAACAATTGAATCACTTACTAAACAGTCGCTTGTTTGTATTAGCAAATTAAATCGAAAACAAGATAGAATTATTTTTAAGAGGTTATATTTGAATTAAAACTATTTTAGTTTGTAACTTAGATTGTTGTATATAATGGTGCAATATGACAAAACAATAGTGCATCACTCGGGGGAAAAGTGCCTTTTCAACCCTCGCTCATTTTCAGACCTCGGCTTCGCCTCTATCGTAAAACGTGAGCTTGCGTCTAAAAGAGTCACTTTATGCCCTAGACGAAAACTTTGGTTCACAACATTATACAAATCTTTTGCCATTTTAACGCAATTAATGCACACTAACAGGCAAAAAACCACAACGAAACTACTTTAAGGTTATGTGAGAAAATATTTAAAATAATCAGCAAAATAATAATTAATTGTGGCTAGGCAGCAGTGACAAAACAAGTCTATGAATGCATATGGATACTGCCAGTGTGTTTAATGTACTGTAATATTACATGTCATTCATTCATCATTAACATTAATTTCTGTATTATTTTGTGTATTTTCTCCCATAATGTCTGTTAATGCCCCTGATAATGTATTATCAGTTATTTAATATGTTCCCTTCTTGTTAATGTATTATTTTATCCAATTTTGTTCAATGTTATATAATATCCCATCACCCCCCAGAAACATCATCCTATTTTATGTTACAATATAATATTTATGCAAAATCTCTCCATACCTATCCTGTACTCATCAAAAACCAACAATAATCATTTATTTAGAATAATATATAATTGTAAGAAAATTGCAATATAGTAATAACATCTTAAATATAGTATTATTTTTCAAAATTATCCAAAGAAAATCAAAATTACTGTGGCAAGTGTCATTCATGTAAATTAACCAGCTGTACATCACTTCAACAATGGACATGGACTTCCTGAGCTTCTACCATTGCCTCTCCCTAGATCCTGCCAACTCTTCACAGTGTGAACATCATTCTATTGGAAATTGTGTTTGATTTAAACTAAAATTTATAATCCCAAAGTAAAACCTAAATTTTAAATTTCTTATCATCCAAAAGTATTGGACAAGTGCATTGAAGAGTACCAATTTATAAGAAGACAGACACTCCAAATTTGGTAACCATCATCCATCTTATTTAACTAAGGACAAATTTAATCTTCATTGGACATTTAATCAGCATAGGCTACTAGGCCAAATTAACTTAACTCATTAAGATATACATATTTCAAATTGAACTTTTATTCAAAATTTAATCTTCAAATTCTATTTTATTTCATTAAATTCAGTGAAACCATTTGGAATCATTCTTTGGACATTTAACATTATTATATTAATAGCATCATGAAAAATTTGCTACGCACCATAAAGCTTTCTATTGACTTTTCATTAACTTAGGCCTACAAAATGCCTATGGCTATTAAGTTAGCCCACATTGAACTCAAAGTCATTTCTTTCTTAATAAAGATAATTCCTAATTTGTGTTTTATTTCTGTCTAATAAGGTAAGTCTTTGTCTTAATCATATAATTATGAATTATTTTAAGAATAAATAGATTTGATTTGTTACAATATAAAATTTATTAATGAAATACAAGATAAGTTAAGTTGTTTGAATTAGCTACAGGGTAAGTTAACAATGGTAAATTTTCAAAATGGTGGGGTTTCCAAAGTGGATGATATTATTCTAGGCTTATATTGGGTTGGTTTCTTCTGAAGTACTAATTAATATTTAAATAGGCTATGAACTCTTAATCTCAGGGAGGGGTGGTCGTGCCGGTTCGAATGATATATTAGGCTTCTTTAAAATGCAAATAATTTAATTTAATTATTGTTCTGAAATAACTGAAGTTAACTTAAGCTAGGTTCATGATGCTATTAATATAATAATGTTAAATGTCCAAAGAATGATTCCAAATGGTTTCACTGAATTTAATGAAATAAAATAGAATTTGAAGATTAAATTTTGAATAAAAGTTCAATTTGAAATATGTATATCTTGATGAGTTAAGTTAATTTGGCCTAGTAGGCTATGCTGATTAAATGTCCAATGAAGATTAAATTTGTCCTTAGTTAAATAAGATGGATGATGGTTACCAAATTTGGAGTGTCTGTCTTCTTATAAATTGGTACTCTTCAATGCACTTGTCCAATACTTTTGATGATAAGAAATTTAAAATTTAGGTTTTACTTTGGGATTATAAATTTTAGTTTAAATCAAACACAATTTCCAATAGAATGATGTTCACACTGTGAAGAGTTGGCAGGATCTGGGGAGAGGCAATGGTAGAAGCTCAGGAAGTCCATGTCCATTGTTGAAGTGATGTACAGCTGGTTAATTTACATGAATGACACTTGCCACAGTAATTTTGATTTTCTTTGGATAATTTTGAAAAATAATACTATATTTAAGATGTTATTACTATATTGCAATTTTCTTACAATTATATATTATTCTAAATAAATGATTATTGTTGGTTTTTGATGAGTACAGGATAGGTATGGAGAGAATTTGCATAAATATTATATTGTAACATAAAATAGGATGATGTTTCTGTGGGGTGATGGGATATTATATAACATTGAACAAAATTGGATAAAATAACACATTAACAAGGAGGAACATATTAAATAACTGATAATACATTATCAGGGGCATTAACAGACATTATGGGAGAAAATACACAAAATAATACAGAAATTAATGTTAATGATGAATGAATGACATGTAATATTACAGTACATTAATGTTTTAAGTAAGTGTGCGAACAGCTAACTTTCGGCCCTAGAGCCGTAATAACCTGCTTAGCTCCCAAATAACGACTATCTTCGAATCGTTGCATTATATTCAAATTCTTACTTTAAATTTCAAAATATTTGAAATTTTTGGTTCAAAACGATAAAGTTGCTTTTAAAAAAGCGCACTTTGGATGGTGGGAAAATATCATTGTTGTAGTAAACACTCTTTTGTTTGTTTGACAAATAACCAAGCCACTCAAATATTACACGTTTGTTATCGGCTTTAATAGCTCCCAACACACAACAGCTAAACAAAGCCTTAATTACATTTCAGCATAATAAAGCATGGTCATTGAAAGAACTAGAACAAATACCATTGAAGTGAAATTATAAATTTATCGATTAATACAATTAACATTTTCCTGCTTAGCTAAATCAGTGCCATGAATCGGTTCTACTTTAGGTAACCGTTTTATGTATCTATAACAAGGTTTTTTTTCCGAAACAAAACTTTTTTTAAGTAAATAATTTTTAAAGACTTTCAGGTGCGATAAGGACACAAGACTAGTTCAATTCTGCAGTTCAGGTACACTGTGATCCTTCTGATACTGTTTAGTGCATGAATAAACTACATTGATTAAACATTAACTAATACATTAAATCCATTAAATTAAATTGTTAGTTTTCTTTGTTTTATCTAATTAGTGCAACACGTGTATCGTATACCTTGATAAAATAAATCTTGTCATTTATATTACAAAATACTGTATGAATTCCCATAATTGTATTTTATAGTCGATATTAATTCTACATACATTTTTAAGGCCCTTTTCATATAAACCACTGTACCGAAGTCTCAAGGCACTGAGTCTGTTAATTTTATATTAATTTAATTTTTACACTCTCCAATTGCAATAATCTAATAACCAAGAGATTTCTTGCACTGTTTTGCTAGCAAAAGCGTAACTCCTTTGCGTTGTGATGTCGAAGTAATACTTAAGATCAAATTAACATATTCTTGATTTTTTATTACTAGAAAAAATTTAAAACATTGTTGAATAATTAACACAGAGGATTATAAAAACTCAAAAATAAGTCATATATTTTAAACTTTATGATACAACTAATGACTACCTCAATACAAAAATAATATCACTCCAAATCATTTGTAGGCAAATATATTACAATATTATACATAGACTAATCAGTAGTTTGCGACGGCAGATACTATGTTCATGAGGCTTGCGTCTGCATTTCTTTCACCAGCTCCTCCGCCTTATCAGCGCCTCTGAAACAAAGTGTAATATTTAAAACTCTTTGTCTTCACTGCTGTCTAGGATCTAAACCCACGAATTACACGTTTATATGATAAAATCGTATCCAGTTCAAGTTAAAGAACAACAACAGTATATATATAAACAAAATTTGCTGTCGCGATTGCCTGTATTAGTTCACTGTCCCCAGACACCATGGTTTCTACATATTTTTACAAAGGTTTAAATACCAGAGGTCTCTATCTCAACACATTACAATATGGCAGCATTTTTTATTTTTCGTCGGCCTGAGAGAGTCCATATAAAAATATACATAGACTAAGCATCATTATTATAAATACCTTCGTCGCAGCTAACCTGCAGACTAAGCGAATATTCCATCTACCTGGCTGGAATTCCACTAAATTATTTCATTAAAATTATCAGATTTAGACCTATTTCCTATTTAAATATCATTAATTTTTATGAGTACTTAGGTTTGCTGCTACTGGGAAATATGTCCATAACCAAGCAAGCTACAACAGTTTATTTATTCTCCATATAATAACGTGGTAATTTTAAATGTACAATTTTTTCATTTATTCCATAACTGTCAGGCATACAACAACCCTTCAATATACTAAATTATTTGTTTTTTTAGCTCTACAAAATCTAGCATGAACGGAGAATAGTATTACTAGTCTACTCGTAAATAACCAACAAACATCACTAAACAAGCCTACTCACTCATGTTTTACAGCATACTTCTTAGTAAGTGAATTTCATTTGCTTATCCATCAGTACGTTGAATAAAACTACAACAAACAAAATTGTTTGCTAACTTAAGCTACATTGAATAAAAAAACATAGAAAATCAATTGGTAAAACTTTATAAACAGCTTTTGTCTTATTGTTTAAGGCTGGTTCGCTAACCAATATGTACAAACAAATAATGGATTGTATACCGGGTGGCCCATATAGTCCCCCCCTGATAAATTTTAAATATATTCAATATATTTAATATATTTAAATATATTTAATATATAACTAGCTTCGATACAAGTTTCTAGGGTAATGTAATGTACTTTTTTAGGGTATTTTGAAATTCACCCCCACCCCCAAATAGGGGTTGCTGGGGGTAACTTAAAATGTTTAAATAGCAAAACCTATCAAGTATTACATAATTTTAAAGACCGCTAGTTTACAAAAATATTGGCGAAAACCAGAGGTCTCTATCTCAACACATTACAATATGGCAGCATTTTTTATTTTTCGTCGGCCTGAGAGAGTCCATATAAAAATATACACCAATATCCCCTATTAACTTTTTTATGGGTTGTACCAGGGAAACTAAACAAAACAATTACTGTACAATAAAGTCAAAACTACTTTTTGAGATCAGTATGACAATTGTGCCCGGGACCCTAGAATGGAATATTTTGGGGGCTCGTAAAAAAATTTAAATATAAAGCCCCATCAAGTGACACTTCATTTTGAAGGTCAGTTAAAAATAATATCAGCGAAAACCAGAGGTCTCTAACTCAACCCATAACAAAATGGTGGCAGTTTTTAGTTTTTAGGAAATATATTAAACCTTTTTGAGCTGCCCCAATATGCTTCATTTTGAGTTCCCAGGGAAAATTATGATAACAACTAAAAAGTAAACTGTTTTCTTATGGAGGGATACACTTTCCTGGTATACCCTGATAAAAATGTTAATATTGGATATTATAATGTATTTTTATGTGGGGTCACTGAGGTTGATGAAAACTAAAAACGGACGCAATTTTTTATTGGGTTGAGATAGGGACCTCTAGTTTTCACTGAGATTCTTTTTAACATCAAAATGAGGTGTCTATTGATAGGGCTTTATATTTTCAAAAAATTGAGCTGCACCCAAAATATCCCATTTTTGGTCCCGGGGCAAAATTGTCAAACTGACCAAAAAGTAGTTTTTACTTTCTTGTTACAATTATAATGGGCTTAGTTTCCCTAGTACAACCCATTAAAATGCTAATAAGGGATGTTGGTGTATATTTTTATATGGACTCTTTCAGGCCGATGAAAAATAAAAGATGGCCGCCATTCTGTATTGGAATGAGATAGAGATCTCTGGGTTCCGCCGATATTCTCTTAACCTATTAACCTTAAAATTATGTGCTATTTAAAACTTTTAGGTTAGGTACCTCAGCAACCCCTATTTGGGGGGGGGGGTGAATTTAAAAATATACTTAGAAAGTACTTTACATTACCATAGTAACGTGTACTGAAGCTCGTTTTAATATATGCAGCCGTTGAAAATTAACCAGGGATAACTATTATGGGACACCCGGTATTTTATCACAATTCCTACAACGTCGGAGACTGTTTACGATAATAAATACGCTGGCTGATATTTAGCAACTGCCTAAGACAGGGACCGGTGTTTTTTTCAATGTTGGTTTTACCATGACAACTACGAAATAGCTACTTACTATAGGTATACTTGCTGTAAATAAATAAATAAATCGATATCTATTATGAATGTGAAAGTTTGTGTGTTTGTTTGTTTGTTTTCAATCACGCATAAACTACTGGACGGATTGGGCTGAAATTTGGCATGATGATAGCTTTCATTTCCGATTAACATATAGCCAAATTCTTATCTCAAAAATTTTTTGGGCTCCGCCCCAGTGGCTCTGTAGTTCCCTATGTTAACCTTATGAGTATTCATATTTGAAGGGAATCAAAGAATTTAGTCAGCTGTTTCAACTAAAAAAGTTTGTTCTATTATATGCAAAAGCATTAAAAGTTATAAGATTTACTAACAGGGTGCAGCACTATATTTTTTTATCAAACAAACAGCTAATTTTTAACTAAGCAGCAACAAAAAACTGTGTTTACAGTTATGTTTATGTTTTTAATTTCACGAATGATTTTTTATATTTTGTGAATTTTCAATAATTTATTTTTCTCGGTGAAGTGGTGGAACATGGCTATGGTAGATGTGCTATAGTATACTATAGCATACCTTAAATTTAAAGAAGTAAATTTAATCAAAATGTGTCCTCCCCTATTGCAAACGCAAAGCTTTAGTTGAGTATAACAGCAATAAGCATTTTAAACTTATATGCTAACCCCGTACGAAGGACGGGTACTCTGTTAGTAATCTGAAATTTTATTATAACAAATAAATCACTACCAAACATTTACTACAGTAAAAACATGATGTGATCGTGGGTAAGATGAAAGTTACTAGGCATATCTATGGAGTTGACGTTTAGCACAATAATCATGGCAAACACATGTCATGATTCTAATACAGTTTACTGTTGAACACCATGAACAGTAATTATTCTACATTTATTTGATTCTAAGTAATAGATCATAGATGATATTGTTTGTACGCTGACTCAATAGGGATAGTATAAATCATTAGGCCTAATCAATCAGTATTCTACTCCATAATTCCTCATTCACTAAATCAGTGTTAAGAGTCTAGGCCTAACAAAATCCAAGCCAAAACCTAAACCATTCATGAAAATAACATTGAGTTTCAAACAGGTCAGTGTATTAACACAGCTATAAAAGCTTCACAGTGTTTGACAAAACTTCTTTGCCGTTTCCCTTTATAAATAATTCAACAATAATACCACTGCCTTCGTATTATATGTAGTAGGAGTTGATATATAGCTGTATATTATGCATAAATCTCTAAGCTCTACAGCTGAAATGTAGCCGTAATACACCCTTTTATCTATAAGATAATTGTTAATACCAATACAGAGATTCGTATCGCGATTTACTTGTATTTATATTATTGATAAAAAAAACTACTTACTTTACAATATTGAAATACTTTGTGTATGGCCAGGCTCAGTAATTTAAGGCTAGTAAATTTGTTTTAAGATTATCTAATGCAAAAATATTATTATTTATATTATATTACCAATTGAGATGGGGACGCCATCGCCACCTAGTTGTATTTGTATTTTATTCTAACCCGAAATATGAGTGAAGGATGAGTGTATAATGAAGTGTGACGATCCATGTATCTTTCTAACTTACTAAGATCAGCTGTTCTCTATCCTGGGTCCAGTAGTTGCGACCCATTAAAAAGCTACACACTTTCTCAGGATCGAACCGGTGACCTATTGATTACTAGATAAGCATTATAATCACAGAGCTACCCGATCAGTCAAACGGAATCAAAAGTAAAAAAAGAATCAAGAATAGTGAACTATTTTATATACATGGTTAGGTTAGGCTAGTTTTAGTTTGGATTAGATTAGTTTATAAAGGGGAACAACAGTCGAAAAAAGGTTCTACGTGCTACAGAATGGCTAGTCAAATATACAATACAATGATCTTTATTTCAAACTTAGCCTATTTAACTTTGGGCCTATCAATGTCATTTTATAGAATATCTGATTATATCATTTTTTGCCTGTACAATACAAATATAAGCCAGAACCTTCTGATACACACTGATTCGTCACAAACTATAGTACCTAGTTTAAAGTTAGTCAGACATTATGACACTTGGCACAACTCTTCGTACGGTCTAAGCGCACGCTAAGAAAGGATTCTTGTAAAATCTTTTGTCAGTTTCAAAAATTAAAATATTTTAACCAAAATTGAACTATCCCATACTCTGGCGCGCAACTTAACCAATTACAAAAGTGTTTATATTAATATTAACCGCTGAGAAATCAAATATTTGTAGGAAAATAATGATGGAGTACTATTAGTTAGTAATCTAAAAAATGTTTACAACCATTGCAAATTATAATTCAACAAAGCATTTGTTTATAGATTTTCATATATTTATTTGCCAGTAAAATAACTGCTAATGTAAACAATGTTAAAATACATGAAGCCCTACCCTGTCATTGGCTCAATTCAGTGAATTATTTTAGAAATCTGGATCAACCTAGTAGTTGACATGATACGTAAATATAATGTTGCTCTAAACATATCAATATGCCCTAGTCATGATGCTAGGTCATGTCTTTGCTTGGGCGACCTTCACATTGCAGTTACACGTGAACACAGCTGATGTTTATCAGCTGACTTGGTTATCAGCTATCAAACATTATGTCAGTTTATGAGTCAACCATGTCAAATGGTGTAGGCTAATTGAATCATCAGGCTAATTTAGCAGCTGTATCGGTCTCATTACATTGTTCAAAAATGGAATTGTTTTACACGCGATAACTGAAGCAGAAAACCCTATTTTTGAATATCGAGGGAATAACATATAGCTTTATAATTATGTTTTTACTAAGCCGACCTTAATCATCTGAGGAAGTATGAACTGTGCTTTTAGTTTATTAAATATTTCAACATTCATATACTATAAACGAACTATATGGTGACGTAACAATGCGATTCACGTTCATTTTCCATCAGCGTTCAAAATGAGAAGCTCAATACAACGGTTTAACTTTCTAAGAAGAATCTTGGATAAGCAAAGACGTAAAATAGTGAAATGGAGGAGCCATTTAATATTGATAATTGCATGATCTTTGATACAAGCAGTTAATGTTTTAGGCTATTGATATATGACTAAAAAATGTTTTTAAGATGAATAGCAACATCAAATATCAAATGTAAATATAAATAGGACACATTAAATTATTTTGCAAAAAATCTAAATCAGTCGTATCATCAGATTCTGAAATATTTCAATTTCAATTTATTGACGACCAGTTGAGATTACCGAGCCAATACCTCATAGCCAATTGTTTCAGTTTCATATGGTTTCATCAACGTTTTAAAATATGGAGCTATAAATAAGATCAATTATGATCAATGGTAGGCTACAGTAGTAGTTTTACTAGGATTACGCACTAGATTAATGTTTAGTCAATATATCCCTGAATAAACTCTGTTGAATTAATTTATTCAACACATTATAACAAGTTTAATTTAACTTGCTATTAGATCATAGTATCGTAAAGATTTTAATATTTGGCTCATTTTACGCGTTTTGATAATAGGAAATGATTCAATTTGTAACACTAATATTTTTATTTCGTTTGTTTCAACGTCATTCATATCATTATCACGGCCTTATCTAGTTATAGATCTAGTATATTGTTGGCTCAGAATTAAGTTATATACTACGCCTGTTTTACAACAATGTAAACGGTTAATGGATAGACAAATAACGAGTCTGGGCATGGACATTCATCATAATCTTAACCTCATAAAGCCTTTAATGTTCTCAAAATATTCTGTAAATAAAAAAGATATGTTTAAAGATTTTAATGGTTTAATGAATAACAACTTGTGGCTGTGCTAAACTAACAGCAAGTTAACTTTGCGTATGAGCCATATATCCAATCCTTGAACTCTCATTGAAACTATTTTATAAACTAGTACCTATGTTATATTACTCACTCTCCAGGAAAAATCAGTTTAATATCTCCAAGGACGGTTTGTGACGCATCAGGAGTTTCAGTAGACGTCGCCTCCACTCCTGTTGTGTTCAATACCGTCGGAGCAAGAACACCTTCAGCCGGAACACAATCTGTAGAATTGACTCCAAGAACACAAGCCTCCTGAGGAAAACTCGGTGGCGGCTGACACATCGGGTCAGTCGCGTTCTGAGAGCAGTTCACAGGGAACGTGGGAGGAACATAGGATATTAAAGTGAGATTCGCCACGTCACTGGCACTAGTGATGTTGTTGAACTGGTCGATGCGGGAGATGGTGTTATTGAGTGTAGCAAAAGTGCTGATTGGAGTCAAAGGTGACTTGCACATTTTGACCCTGACGCATGGACGATAGCCCGTCCTGGAGAAGGGGCAGTCGGGAGTCGAGCAGCGATCTACCAGCTCAATTGAAGGAAGACACATTTCTATCCAGGAACAGTTGAATATCTCACAAGATGAGTGATTTAACGGAGTAGTGGTGTTGAAAACTGTGGAATTCACTATTGGGACGGCAGTGGGGAGGTCAGTCACTGATGGTACGGTGGTGGATTCTGTTAACGATACAGTTGAATTATCGGCAGTAGGAACCACAGTCGTGTTGATATCAGTCTTCGAGGTTTCGTTGATGGAGATCTCTTCTATCTTAACAGTGGTATTTGGTGGGACTTGTTCGGTTTTATTTCCAGTAGTGTTTGTATTTGTCATAGCTCCCTCTCTGCAAACTCTCATCCAGTACTTGTGTAAATCAGACACTGTTGGGTTTACATTGTCAGCGAAGGAACTATAAGTAACATTATTATTTTCAAGACACATAGTTATACCTGCAGAATGTACTGAGATTTCTCCCGATACGTTGGTTGTAGTAAACATTTTTATAGCTGTACAGTTACCAGCTGTGCAAGACATAACTGTTACGTTCAGGGAATCGTAAACAAACTGGTCTGTTGTACAAGGGGTAACGGTGGAATTATTCAATATGTAAATATTTGTGGTTTGGTTGTTAGAAGAATCAATTGTTTGGTTTTTGACGAACGTGTCTAGCACACGGTGGTTATGGCTTCGACCACCGAATCCACCAAACATTCCAAGAGGTATCGGTATGGGAATGGGAATGGGAATGGGGAGCCCACCCCACCGACTCTTTTTGTGTTGACCCATAAAGCCATTGTTTCCTCCATAAGACGATGACCCAAAGAATCCAGGATTATTACTGTATCCAAAGTTATTAGGACTGTAATGAGGATTTCCTCCAAATCCCGAATAGCCTCCGTATTGTGACTGTCCACCAAAGGGACTTCCTCCGTAAGGATTTGAGTGTCCAAAAGGTGATCCTCCGTACGGATTCCCACCGAATCCTCCTGAGTGAGACTGTCCTGATTGCCAATTATTATAACCGCTATTTGGATACGAACCATAAGCTCCAGATCCTAATCCTTGGTTCGAATATCCACCAAAAGAGCCGCCAGCATTAGGATATCCAGGGTAGCTTTGCTGCCCTGGATAGTTTTGCTGCCCCGGATAGTTTTGCTGACCTGGGTAGTTTGATTGACTCGGATAGCCTTGTTGCCCAGGATAGTTCTGCTGCCCCGGATAGTTTTGCTGACCTGGGTAGTTTGATTGACTCGGATAGCTTTGCTGTCCAGGATAGTTCTGCTGAGCCGGGTAGCCAGGCCGTTGTCCATTGTTAGGATTGGTGGCGGAGTAGACGGGTGGTGCGTTGACAGGACGTCCAGGGTATGCTGGAGGTGACTCAAACCCTCCATGTGAGCCAGTGTTGCCACCAAGGCCGGGGTAGGCAGGAGGAGGGCCGTTAGGAGCACTAGCTGGGGCTGACGCTTTACCAGGATACGCCGGAGCAATAGGAACATTAGAACTAGGTGATTTATGTTGCACTTCAGAGTTAACTTTATCAAAACCCAGGGGCTTCGGGTTACCTTGATTCACCTTATCAAAGCCGATGGGACCGTTTGTCTGTGGCACTGTTTGTTTCGGAGGTTTACTGTCGAACGGACTGCCACGGTAGTGTGTGTTAGTTATAGCAGGAGATCCATGTGATGTTCCGTGTGATGAGCCTGCTCTCTCAGCTGCCAAAAACGAGTCCACCTTCTGGGGAGTGACAGGAGGTGGAGGCTGCTTGTGTTTGAAGTTGGTCGAACCACCTCTTCGATTATTTCCTGTTTTTCTTCTAGTCGAAAACGTCTTTCGTCCTACTACTACACAACTGGTCAACACTATCGCGATCAGCAACGCGCGCACGCATGTTCCAACTCGCATCACTAGGAACTGTTTTGATACGCGACGAGAGACACAACTGTTAACAACACAGTAGACAGGCACAAACTAAACGATCGTGATCAGAACTGGATCTCCCCTCCCTACGGGCAACTCAATGGACCGTTCAACGTAATTGACCCTGAATGAATCAGTTCTAGAAACCGCCTACGTCACGCCACTTCACTTTCCTTGTTACAAAACTCTCACTTTACACAATGCGTCAGTGACCGGTAGTAGCGTTATATCAGTCTGTTTATGACTTAGCACTGTTGTGGTTTGATACAAATAATGAATATACGTCCGCTGAACGTTTAACAAAAATGATGCAATTTGTAAACAATGTTATTTATAGGAACCAGGCTGGGATAGTAAAATTTATCAGCTGGTTTCAGTAAGGATAGTTGATAAGCTAGAAATATCACATGTTAAGTATGAGTACGAAAGTATTCAAAAGGTTAAATCTACTCTGAGGTTAAATTAATGAAATTTATCCATACACCCTTGAAAAATCCATAAAAAACCTTATTGCTATATGATTTAGGGAAAACAAACCTTTACCGCTCATACTGGAGGCAAGTTGAAGATGACGGGTTCTAATACATTTTAAGTAGATGGTTGATATTCCCATACATCCAAAGCTTTGTGTTGTTGGTTACACCAAATTTGGACCGTTACCTTATATAAAAAAAATGCATGGATTAAAAAACAATATCAAAAATAGTTGTAACGCATTGTTTGTTGTTATACTAAGTTGAAACATTATAACCAGCTATTGATAGAGGTAAGGAATTGAAATTAGTATTTTAGTGTCTTCTGTTTAAATTCCAACAAAAATCAATTCTGGACCCACATGCTGTTTGCCAATGGACTATCAATTAAAGATGCTATCCAACAATTTTACGTAGCAATATCAGTATATGAACAGTTCCCTTAAAAAATGCGGGAAAATTTCTAAAATAGGTACAGGTATTCCTAATAGGTATAACATATGCAGTAGAATGCATATAAAAATGCGTTTCCACTATTCTATTGCCATATCAAATAATTTTTATGGACATCCCTGCTTAGGGTTAGTTTTTAGGGAATTTCCCATCCATAAGTAATAAGCTATCACCGTAGGTCTCATGGTAATCTATGGACATGGGAGTTATTCGTTTTGATGTCGCCAGAGGCCAAAAGCACATCCATTCTCATACATATTTTGGGGGTTACAAAATTGGGAAAATCCAATTTTTACCCTTAAAACTTCCTATAAACCCCCGTTTCCATAGTCTAACAATGATGGTTTGCGAACTCGTTCGAATAAGTTTTATAAAAGGTTTACTCGTTTGTACCTAATTCCATCAAAATCTGATGATCTTTACATTAGTGATTGTGCTACTCACACACACCAGCTATTTTTTATATTAGTAAACATGAATCCGAATTGATATTATTTTTGTCCTCTGGAGTCATAAACAAAAGTAATTTGGTCCTGGGTCTAGATCTTACCTTGAGAACTACGGTAATTTCCCTACATGGAATCGAATAAGCATAACATTTCATAGTCATAGTTGTCTTATAGTATATTAACATTCAATTAAATCCAATTATTTAAGACAGTGACGCACCACTTGGTGAGTATTTAAAGCTTAAGAATGAAAGGTGAGCGTGGAATAGTGCGATATGATCAGTACCTTTGTTAGTGACTAAGTTCGGACATTTCTTAGCCACGTTATTGGAGCTCAAGGGTTCAATTTAGAACCAACAAAACAATTCTAAATTTTTAAGGATAATTTAAACTAATAATCCCGATTAGGGTATGGTACGGGGATACCTGTCATAGGTTTTAATTAAATGGAAACAGTTTGTCACATTTTCTGGAATGTTTACAAGCAAATTAAATTAGTTATATCACACAACAGTGCAGGAAACAATTTGAAATGGATTTTTTTGAAATTGTTGCTTATTCATGTGGTTTGAAAAAGCACTTATTTTTTCATGATTTATTAGCAGATATAGTCAAATCAGTATTATGATTTCTTTTGCTCTCCGCATATAATGACCCTGGATATAATGTGACACACAGGTCCAATTGTCCTCACCCTCCGTCATAATCGGTATGACCGTGTCCACCGACAGCAGTCCTATTAACAGTAGCTATTTACAATTTATGACCTAGTCAAGATTGTAAACAGCAATTTTTTTTTTTTTAGGGAGAGGAGGGAAAATGCTTTTACGCACACAGGTAGCCAGCCTGTAGTGTGAGACTCCTGAAAATTGTCAGACTACTCACTAAAAAACCCCCTCTACTCTGTTGGACACAGACCTGGAATTGTTTGTCACATTACTTCAAGTCAGGCCAACATGTGACCTAAGCCCTCAGGGCTCGCACCGTTTCTGGCATTTCGATTCTTAATTACCTACAACCGCATCCCGGTCAAGGTCGATCTTCTTGGCGCGGAGAATACCCTGGATATAATGTGAGACACAGGTCCAATTGTCCTCACCCTCCGTCATAATCGGTATGACCGTGTCCACCGACAGCAGTCCTATTAACTGTTGAGCATCCAGGCGGGGCGTTTCCCAGCGCTGGCAGTGGAAAAATGTATGTTCCACGTCATCGAGAATGCCTGGGCAGTATATGCAGTTGGGTGACACGGCTTTGCCCATCCTGAACAGGTACGACCGGTCCAGAGTCCCCGTGTCTCCTGTTCCCAGCCCTCCCGCCACAGCTGGTAGGTGCGGGTGCGTTCCTCTGTTCGTGCCTCGTCCTCCCCACGGACGAAATTGCCTTTCTCTCCGCCGCCAAAAGTTTGACGGGGATGACTCCAGCAATCACCAGGACGGCGGGCTCGGACACTGTTCGGTAGGCAGATGCTACCCTCAGTGCTGCCTGACGCTGCACTCGGGCGAGCCGCATCTTGTATGCCTCCTTATTTAGTGCGTCTGCCCACACCTCCGCACCGTACAAGAGTACGGACTGGACCGAAGACATTAACAGCCTTCTACGACTGGACCGAGGCCCTCCAACATTGACCATCAACCGGCTAAGAGAAGAAACCACCCTAGCGGCCTTGTCCGCTGTACGGAAGATCTGATCCCGCCAGCTAAGCTTGCTGTCTACCATGACCCCAAGATACTTGGCAGAACGAACAGTTTGAACCTCGACGGCTCCCACCCTCAACGGCACGATGGTGTCAATCCGTTTTTTGTCAAAATCACGATCTCGGTTTTGCTCAGAGCAAGCGAGAGACCGTGGTCTGCCATCCATGCGTTTATGGTACGCATCACTCGGTTTAGCTTTAGCTGAGCCAGCTCAACGCTAAGTGCAGCTATCAAAGCTGCAACGTCGTCTGCGTACCCAACCAAGACTGTTTCCTCAGGCATTTCAGACCTCAGAAGGCTGTCATAAGCGACGTTCCAGAGGTCTGGGCCGAGTATGGAACCTTGGGCAGCACCAGAAGTGACACTCATCGTCCGCGGGCCCTCCGCAGTGTCATACGTTAGGAGGCGAAACCGGAGATAATCCTCTATGATGCGCATGAGGTATGCCGGCACGTGGAAGGTGTTCTCCAGAGCATCCAGCATATCGCACCACCTCGCCGAATTAAATGCATTTCGCACATCGAGCGTTACGAGCAGCACAACCCTGCGAGAGTAGTGGGTAAAATCCTCAGCTCTCATCACGGCTTGCTTTACCTCCTCAATCGCATCAATCGTTGATCGCCCCATCCTGAATCCATACTGACGAGGGGAGAGGTCCCCCGCAGCGACAACGGCTGAATTTAGCCGGGAACGGATCAATTTCTCGAGGACTTTGCCAGCCGTATCCAACATACACAGAGGTCTGTAAGAGGATGGCAGATCTGGGTCTCCCTTGCCCTTCCCAACAAGCACAAGCCTAGCTGTCTTCCAGCACAAGGGGAAAACCCCTTCAACCAGGCAGGCGTTATACATGCTCAAAAGGATCAAGGGGTTGGTAGTCAAAACCTTCTTGAGGACTTCACCGGGCACCCCATCGGGACCAGGAGCCTTGTTGTTCTTCAGGGATATGACGGCCGCCACCAGCTCTTCAGGGCTGAAAAGTGGGACGTCGTCCACCCTTCCATAATCCCGCAGTGGGCGCAACGCGTGAGCCGGGAAAAGGGACTCGACTATCCTCTCCATAGTGACCCTGTCCATGACGGAAGGTGGAGAGCGGGTTCCAAGTTTCTTGGTTACAAGTTTGTAACCCAGGCCCCACGGGTTGGAATCAACATCGTCCCTTAATTTATCCCAGCAACTGCGTTTACTCCGATTGATGGCTCGACGAAGATACCTCCTAGCCACCCTATAAGCATCCGACTTACGCCGTCTGTCTAGGGGTTCTCTAGCCCTGGTAGCAAGTCTTCTGGCCCTCAATGCCGCTCGACGCAATTCCGCAATCTCGGCAGTCCACCAGTACACAGGACGCTTATTGCACCGGTATCTCCTGCGAGGCATAGACTCATCGCAGGCCGAGACAATCAGTTTCACCGTGGATGCAACTAACGCCTCTGCGTGAGGCACGCCAGTTGCAGGATGAACCACCGGCGTTCTTCGTAGGATGGCTCCATTGAATTTTGCCACGTCCAGTTTTTTAATGTTCCATCGAACGGGCACTTGACGAAACGCTGCCACTTGTCTCGGGTGACCATCCAGGACGTCAAAAATTATGTACTGGTGGTCACTGGCCGTGTAATCCTCCAGGACTCTCCAGGCTCTGATCCTTGGCAAAAGAGACTCAGATGCAAGGGTAATATCTGGGATCGTTCCCCGCATCCCAGGGCGCCGGAAAGTTGGCGTGTTGCCCTCGTTGGCGACAACGAGTCCGGCTCTGGCAGCAAAGTCCAGAATGTACTTGCCCCGGGAATTTGTGAGGGTCATTCCCCACTCGACAGCCCTAGCATTAAAATCCCCACCCACGACGACGTGTCCTGTGGTATTGCGCACGCTCTCTTCCAGGCGGTCTATCTTCTCACGAAAGTCACGGATGGCCTCATTGGGAGTGAGGTAGACACTAAAGTAAGTGACATCCCGGCACCGAACCCAAACGAAACCTCGGCCCTTCGCGTGACCCCG